CAAGGTCTGAACAATGTTTAATATCTCTAAAAGTAGGAATCAGATTTAAAAGTTGTTTTACACGAATTATGTCAGAAAGATGTGTAACATTTTAAAGTTGGAATGAGGTTTCTGAGTGAAAGTATGAATGAACAGTTAGCAGTTGAAGTCGCATGAAGATTTGTTGAAGTCTGACGATTTCCTCCATTGACTTCAATGTTAAAAATTTGATGTATTATGGGATGTATCTCTGGAATTATGAAAGTTATGAATGAGAAAAGTAATAGCAATCGATTCCCGACCGAGCTGAACGTTTTGATGTTTGAACGGAGTTTCTGAGATGTTCAATGCGGGAGGAGAAGAGGGCCAAAATAACCCAGCGGAATAATAATAAAAATGTTGTCCGTAGAAGAACAGTTAGTTGGAATGCTGTTAACAGCATTCCAACTAAATTATGTCCTGGTTCTTGTCTAAATAGAAGTCAGAATAAATCATACATTTTAAACCTGCAGTTTTCTTTGTACTACCAAATGTAATGCTTTAAGTGTCAACAAGTAAAGTGGAGGTATACAAACAAACATTTTTCACATTTAGGCAAATCACACTATTAAAATATTTTTGAATCAGTCTTTCAAGAGTCTGAAACGCTAAGTAGAGGGAATTAGGATTGAATATATTTTCTGACGTTGCATTATACATTTCTTCATATTTGTAACATTGATTTTTTGTTAAATATTTCATCAAATTATTTCATACGGATAGAGGAAATGATTGGGTTCAAAACTGTTTTTTAATATTATTCCGAATATCATTCAAACAAAAGTCTTGCTCCTAACTAGCTTTAAGCTACAGAAACCAACTCTTCATGCATGAATAAAACACAGACAATATGGAGCTACCCAATAACACAAAAAGCCAAAAAAGCGTAGAATTACACTTTCAACGATATAAAAACTTGAAAAAGTCAAAATTGGAATCCACATGCTAACCCAGAGAAATGCAATTGTTTAAAGCTTTATTCAGGCCAAAAGATATGTCGCTTATACATTGGAATTCAACAACATTTAAATGTGTTGAATAAAGTACACATGTGATTGTGAATCACAACGTTGATCAGGAAAAACAGGGAGTGCAGAATTTTTTTTTTTTTATCTGGCAGTCCAAGTTTAAAACATTTATCTTTCTTATGTTTCCTTTATTGCAGCAGATGGAGGAGTTTGAGAGCAGTTCTCTGGGCCGGGTCACGGTGTACTCCATCCAGGGCTGTCCACACTGTGTGCAGGCTAAAGCCATCCTGGGGGGTCTGGGGGTCCCAGTGTGTGACGTGGATGTGGGGAAGCATCCGGAGCTCAGAGCCAGGGTGAAGGAGCTGACCGGACGCAGCTCCGTGCCTCAGATCTTCTTCAACAACATTCATGTAGGCGGGAATGATGACCTTCAGAAAATGGTGAGAAGAAACTAAGTTTAATGTATAACATTTTTTTGTGTAACCGTAAAAAAAAATCTAATTGCAGAAAAAACAAATTTTTGAAATTGTGGTTTAACTCTTTTGAATTATTTAACCATTTTGCCCATACATGTACTTTGTTTTTCACACAATCTAAATACAACAATACAAAGAACATGCCTAAGCCTATGCCATATATCCAATAACATTTTGGCAAAGCAAACAGTCCAAAATGTTATGTATACCAAAAAGTCGAACATATACAGAAGAGGATTAGGGCCACATGAAAACAAAAATGTGGGGATGTGAAAAAAGTCAGAATTCTGAAATTAAAGTCAGAATTCTGAGAAAAAAAGTCAGGTCAATTTTTTGGGGATGTGAAAAATAAATATATATATTTTTTTCACATCCCCAAAAAATTGTTTTCATGTCACTCTAATCCCATCCCGTACACATACATTTAAATTCATAGAAAAACAAATCAAACACTTGTTAAACCTGCATGTGTGTCTGTCCCCAGGCTCCTGAAGAGCTGCAGAGGCTGGTGAATGTTGTGAAGAAAGAGCCTCTTCCAGCAGACGCCCCCCCCCTCCCAGAGGAGAATCCAACAGAGAGCACGTCGGGGGAGACGGATGGAGGTGAGGGATTCAGGTTCTGACAAAACACTTTTTCCTTTTCCCAATTAAAGTTATTTTCTTTGCCTGCAATATCATTTGTTAGAGACTGTGTGCAGAAATACATTTTACACTGCTGTACTTAATGCCTTAACCCTATTTGAATGCACATTTCATGGTGTGTTTATCTTGCAGTGTATTTTTAAAAAATCAGATGGTTTACTGTGCTCAGAAAGGAGATGGTGAAATGAACCACACTGAGGGGTGTGTTTGGGTAACAGCAGATGTGTGTGTCACTCTTGCTAACACACACAGTTGATACAGGAAACATGACACTCCGTCTGGCAGCACACTACCTGTTTGGCTTTAACCTCCTACAGTGTAAACAAAGTCTGTCCAAAGAGACACAAACACAGCTTTGACCTACAGAAACAGAATACCTTTTAATTATATCATTATGTTAACACATTCCATCTGTTTTTTACTCCCTTGACAGTCTTGATTAAAAAAAATCTTACAATACCGTTGACGTATTTCAGTAATTCTGTCCAGATTTGGCTGCTATGAGGAGCATGTAGGCCACTTTATAGCAGCCCCATGTTATTAGGAGAGAATCTGACACGCAAGTTGTTAATCTGAATGAACCACTGTAGTTTCCCAATTCTTTTATCCAAATAAGTAGATATAGTGAAGATATTTCCCGTTTAAATATGTTTTACCACATGTTGTGTGTTAAAAGGGCAAAAACATTTAATCTTTTTAAGTTAAATAGTCCTAAACTCTATGGTATGTTTTTTTTCTTTGGTCTTTCTTTCTTTAAATACAAAAAAAAATGAACAGCCATGCTGGATTATTCCTTTATTTCCTGGGGTCTACACAAAAACATCAAAAATGAAAAGCTAGTTAAAATAAAACAAGGAAAGACAAAACAAGCAAAATATAAGGGTCAGAAAATGTGTGAAATTACACATGGAACAATAAACAATGATGTACTACTGTACAATGTAAACAAAAACAAAATTGTCACAAATACATAGCAACAAACTAATACAAATAGTAGACGCAACACTGAAAAAAAACAATAACCAAAGAGAAAAGGATAAGCTATAACCTGATAAAACTAATTTGCCACCTTTCCCACCAACAACATTTTCTGTGTTTGTACATATGTCGCTGACCCTCACAGAGTTTGTGTGTGAGAGAGATGAGTTGGCGGACCTGGTAGAGAACTTCAAACATGGCAATGTGATTGGCAGTCATAGGAAGGGGCTGACAGTACACAAAAAGAGCTTCTCCAGTGACCAGCTGGTTGACTGGCTGCACAAAGAGAAGGGCATGGGTGAGTAAGGCTGTGGACCTGCAGTCAAACAGGCGTTCAGCGTCCTGTCACTCTGATTCTAAAGCAGTTAATAGCATAATCTGATGCCCTGATTGATACAAATTGTCTGTGGCGTGTGTGTGCCAGCCAGGGCTGAGGCCTGTAGCACTGGCCAGGCCATGATGCAGAAGAAGTACATGGTGAGTGTGCGTGGCTGTGGGGAGAAGGAAGGCTGTTTTGGAGAGGGGAGAGACGCTCTGTACAGGCTGCTGGAGCACGACCCTCACTCAGCCCTCAACGCAGGACGGATGGCCGCCTGCATCCCCATCCCGGGTAGGTCAGGACTAGACCCGGCTCTGGGGCTTACGCACTCATATTGTAGACTCAGGCTGAATGGGGACCTCCAGTGCTCTCTAACCCCTGTCCTCTCTCTGCTGCTGCTGGCTTTGGTTTATGAACTCTTTGGAGGCTTGGGGGTGTGTATTATGTCTGTGAGCTTTGTGGTGGGGCGAACCAAGGTAGGGCTTAATGATATATCTTGTGTATATATGGCCTTTTATGATAAATTATGGACAGAAATGTCCATGCTTGACCCTTAGAATTAAGCTGTAGTTAGATTTTTTTTTAAGTCTGTAATGTTATATTGTAAATTCAGTGCTATAATTATTTAGTCTGTCAGAAACCTCATCCATTGATTTTGATCAAAAGGGAAAATTGGCCTGAAAAAAATGTATATCATTGAAGCCCTATTTCAAACCCATGTTTGCTTTCTGCAGGTTTGGTGACATCTTCTGATGATTATTTTCTTCTCCCAAGTGTTTTGTTCTTTGGTCGTGCTTAGACGTTTGGTGCGTTGTATTTATACCTGAATGTTGCTCACCTCCAGAGGCTAACTAACAAACTACTCCGTGCTGAACACAGAGGTGACCATAATCACTGTTAGTAAGTGTTAGCATTATTATGCTTCATTTGCAGTGCTCTCTTTTTCCACAGGTACTAAGTATCTTATCTGTAGACAACACTTGCCTGATCTTTATGAAAATGATTTCGTTTTTTTTCCCCCATGGATTATTTCACAGCTACGCTGAGTACACTCACCAGACATGTATGGTGCTTTGCTAACACAGTTGCTTTCACCTTTCAGATATTGGTTTTGTTGGTCTCACCAAAGAACACTGTTTAATCTAAAACCCTTCTCTCTATCTCTTTCTCTCTCTCAGCTGCCGAGCTGTCTTTGCTTTTACGGGAGTTGATCCTGAAATTGTTCTCTGAACATCTTTCTGCTGACGGCAAGGTAAGGAGACGCAGAGTGTTTTCATCTGTCTGTTGATTTGTAACTGGTTATGATTAGATGGCATACACTGCATACTATTGCACTTGGAAGGTGAATGTTAGGGGAGGTTTGGTGTTTTAGAGACAAACAGGTTTATTTACAGGTCTATCCTTTTCTGCTATAACTTAAAAAGGTCAAACAAAATATAGACTTTGTTTTTTAACACATATAAGTGCAAATATAATTGATGATGTAGAGGCTAAGCCAACGCTTTAAGCCTCTGAGGATCCGCTATGTTTGCGTAATTGACGCACATAAAGTTTGCCAGGTGAATAAAAGTCAGATACAAAGTTTCCAGTTAAATACAGTCTATTTATTTCCTTTTTACTGGTGTCCATTTAACTTGCTTCATTTGATTATTCACCATACACAATATTACGGTTAACACAATACCTTTTAGCAAATGTTTGTAATCCCGTGTTTGTGTGTGTTCCGGAACCTCTAACCACGAACATTGGTTCCTACCTTTATACCCACTGTGTTAATTGGCTCCTAGAGATGGGTTTGTTAACCTGTGCATATTTGTGAAACAGGGTACTGTATGTTTTCTTGTTGCTCCACCAGTCTGTGGACTACAAGGGCATGTCAGGTGACCCTGCCTTCGAGCGGTACTGTGAGCTGGCCATCCAGCTGCAGCGGGTTGAGCTGCTCTCTCTCAGCAGGGAGGAGAAGCTGGCCTTCTTCATCAACATCTACAACGCCTTGGTCATCCACGGGAACCTCCGCCTGGGGGCCCCCACCAACATGCTGCAGAGATACAAAGTAGGGTCACCCAGCCACACTTTAAGACGCTACAGGGTCTCCTGAAGTCCTCATAGCCCATAGTCCTCACTGTAATTGAAAATACAATATGAAAATATTTGTGTTTCTTAATACTTTGAAATAGTGCTGCAAAAAATATGTAGATATCAATATTGCTTAGATAATGTTTCTATGTTGAAGTTGAGATTAGCCATTTCTTTATGCTGATTTTAACCAGTATCGCCTATGATGTACAGAATGTACATTATTTTACATCCAGAGTGAAATCTAAAGATAAACATGCAAATGAAGTGACATAAATGGTTGTGTTATCTTAATATTTGATACATGTACTTCGATTACAAATATATATTGTGTTCCTGTCCCTTATGTAGTTCTTCAACTATGTGAGCTACCTGATTGGAGGAGAGTTGTTCACACTACAGGACATTGAGAACGGCGTTCTGAGAGGGAACAGAAGAGGAATGGCTCAGCTATTAAGGCCCTTTTCCAAAACAGACCCACGACTACAGGTATTCAGACATTCTGTTAAATCACAGTAGAATATTTAAATAATTCACAAGATAGACACTTTTTTGGACAGAATAACTAGAGTAATGTTGTATTTCTCATTTTGTCCACTAGGTGGCGCTTCCAGACGCTGAGCCCCTCATTCACTTTGCCTTGAACTGTGGAGCAAAGGGCTGCCCACCCATCAAAACATACACTCCAAAGGTGAGCAGAGTTCAGCAATATGCATTAAGTATATCTCCAACATATCTGGTAATTAAAAATCTTATCTACCCTATCAGGACATCGACAGCCAGCTCCGCACAGCAGCAGAGGCCTTCCTGGAAAACGATGACTCCTGCCTGGTGGATTCTGGGAAAAGAGAAGTGCGACTCAGTCAGATTTTCAAGTGGTACAAAGCTGACTTTGGAGGAACGGATGAAAAGGTACTTCTGACTCCCAACTGACCCCTGCGCAGTCTTTTTTTCAAAAACTGGAATCACAGGAGTGGTGGAAGAAATATTGAATTATTTTTTCACAAGTTAAAGTAGAAATACTATACTTTTTTGTATTAAATTGTACCAAAAGTATGATGCAATACAAATATTTTTTTAACAAAATTGACGTTGCCAGTGTCTTAATCATATTTCGATGATAATTGTGAATAAATACCATCCATTAAGACTGTTTTCTCTCTCTACAGCTGCTGAAGTGGGTGCTGGATCACATGGGTGACTCCCCGAAGAAGAGCAGCCTGCAGGATGTGATATCTGCTGGGAAGACCAAAGTCATCTTCCTCCCTTACGACTGGAGCACCAACGGCACACACTGAGCATCTCTCTGCTGCTCCAGTGTGTCTCTGCTTCTGTCCACTTCCTACTGAGCTGCATCTCCTCTGAAACCAGAACGGTGACCATGTGTTTCACAAATGCAATCCACTGGTCCTCAACCATGCAAATCGACGTTATGCAAAACAAACTGTACATTCAAGTGGTGAGAGGGGCGCGTTTGCACTGTCCCAGACTCATACTTCTCCCCCGTGTTTAAATGTCATACGTTGTGTATGAGTTGAACATCAACGCTTTCATTGGTTTGAAGCAACAATAATCGAGCTATTTAGAAATTAAGATGTTATTGACTTCCGTTATTATTGTACTATGTTCAATTTTATCCTGAAACTTTCCCAAATGAGTAATCGAACCCCTACCCTAAGACTGAATTTAGTGTGTTGAGAAACAAAATCTATAATATTTATTGTAATTGGTCTAAATTCTTAAAATCGGATATGGACCTACTTCATAAACAACACCACAACTTAGATCGCATGAAATCTGACTTTTGTAATTCAGGGAAAACAATGACAAAATAGACTAGTGTTTTTTCTGCAAAAAACACCATTTACCCAAATACTGTATGTACTGTAGTAAGACAAGAAAATCTAACTGTCCTACAAAAATGTACCATTTCTTCAGATTGTTCTTGGGCACGCACTTCAACCTTTGAATTAGAAAGGAAATTCAAAAATGAACTAAAAGCATACTGTATAATAATTTAACAATTCTCAACATGGCTTCCATGTCCTCAACACTATGTCAGCAACTCAGGAGTCATAGATTGCCACCCTCTTCAGTCCAATACAACACTCAGCAGGCGGTTCATGTGGAGCATTTAATCAGAGCAGAGGTAGGCGATACACACACCCTGCCTTGGAAAGCCATATTGAAGCCCTTTTTAAATAACAAACATACACATTCAAGTTTAGCAGCTGCAGATTCTCCTCATTCTCCAATGTTTTAAAATACAGGTAAAGAAACTACAAGCTGTGGAAATTAAACATTAGTATCCAACTTATGGATATTAAATATTGAAATATAAAGACAACTTCGCCTCTGGCTGTAGAACAAGATAACATTATTTGAAGCTCTTAACAAAAAAACTATGATAATTAATTTATTATAAAAGAAAATCTTGTATACAGTGCTTTTGCATGGCTTGATAATTTTTTTAATTATTTTGTTACTTCCTTACTTTGTTAGCCTACATGGATGTCCACCCCTCTCTTTTTGATCCAGGTCTTCCATTTGAAATGACAACTGCTGTGTTTTTAAGCGCAGCCATTTAGTTGTGTGTGTGTATATATATATATATATATGTGTATATATATAATATTTTGAATTCTAGAAATATGTATCATAGCTACACCCCTTTGGGAAGCACTCTGACACTTTGCATGTGTATCACCAACTTTGAATGCTTTTCAGACATGTTTGTACTGTTTTTTTCACAAACAAAAAAGTTAACTGTTGGTCAGTGTGAGATGTATGGGCAGTTTGTCCAGATATTTCAAGGGTGTCTGCGGGAAGTGAATGTCTTGAATTATTGTTTGTTTTATTTCCCAGATCAGTAGTCATGAATATAATTAAATGTAGCAGTTTGTGTGTAGATTATATTACTTTAGGGTTTCTGCCTTTAAATCTGTACAGGACCTACCTTTGGTTCCATAATTGAAGGATTTTCTTATCTCAGGTCAAATGAAAATGTGAGCAAACGATGTTAGGGTGTCTGATGTCATCGATGCATGTTGTGTATAACATGTCCATCTCTCTCCATATTCCTTTGCTAAGACATCGTCTCTTAGTCCTTAAACTATAAGCAGCACGAGAGCATATGGTGAAATAAGCATGTGTTAAAAACTGGAATGCATTCGCTGCACGACTCTGGAAACTGTTGAAAGCTGTTCTGTAGCCGGACAGCCCGTCAACTCTAGAGCCTGTTATTGGAATGCAATAGATTGAGAATATAACCTAAGTTCATGTTACTCTATTGTTTAGTGACTGATGGTAAAATACACTTTGTTGGCTAAACTGGACTGAACAAGTACATTTTATTTACGTATTTAGATTTTCCCTGATAGAACCTTGTGTATCAGGAAAATGTGACGCAAAAAGTTTTTAAAAAAAGAAATTGTAATATATTCTATTTCCTCTTTCCTGGGGTGAACAATAAAGCAATATGTTTGTCAACAATAAATATGCAATGCCTGAACTTAACTGTCTCCTTACTTACTGTGTAATCTCACTGCATTTTCTTTTGAAGCAGAAAAAAACGGGTTGTTGACTTATGTGAATACATTATTGTATTAAACCAATGACAACGTTTAGTTTCATTTGTTTATTCAACAAATGAAATCCCTTTTTTTTTTTTTAAATGAAAAATAGATGGGAAATCATCATTACATTTACAAATCTAATATATTAACATTTTTACATATAAATAAGCAGGTTTAAGTGCAGTCCCGTAAAAAAGAATACACATATACAAACTTTTACAGAGTATCTCAAAAGTATATACATAACATGAGGTTAAACTGAATTAAAAAAGAAATTCAAAATGACAGAGATTTTAAATTGTATCTCTACCGACAGTGCAAAACTGATTTGTTCTTGGCACTAATGAAGTTATAAATATGTGTCGCATTGTACAGAATAATAGTGTGACTTTACAAAGGCATGATCGCAGGGTTTCAGACATTTTAAATTAGACTCCTGTTGTCAGAAGACTTGTTGGCAAACCCAACCCGGGAAATCCTAGTTTCAAAAGTTACTTTGGAGGATTTATTTAGAAATAAATACTGTAACAGTATAGATGTACAACCACCACATATCTACTGTTAGTCATTAGTAGTGACACTTTTTACCAAAGCTCAAACCAGTGTATGATTGGAAGACAGTCATTGAACAAACACGCTACACTGAGAACACATTTCATCTTTCCATCCATTAGTGTGGTTTGATACAATAGTTCATAGAGTTAAAAATACTGCTCATGATATAGTGTATGTAAATACATAAAAAGGTTCAAATCAAGAGCAGAAGCCATTAAAGGAAATAATTTCAAGTGCTGCCAGCAAGTCAGGAAGAGAAAACATATTCAAAGCCAGATTCTTAATGCCTGCTTTTTTTTCTTCAAAATAGATTACAGTGTAAAGTAAATCATAGTTGTCCCTTTGATTCAAATCAAAAGCACATTTTAAATCCACTTGATCGAATAAAGGCTTAGTGAAGTGAGTAAAACAATATATTTAAATTAAAACTACCTGAACAAGTGGTTTGAATAAAAAATGTCAGGCTCACTAACCAGTATATGAGCGACAGGGACATTCACCTGATAGTGTTAACGGGTCAAACTGAAAGACAAGCAAAAGACAACCCTTCAAATATTGGACTTCTGTTGGTGGAATAAAAAAATGCAGTAACCAACATAGTATTTGTTTGAAGAGGAAAGTGAAAACATGGTAACTATCACAGGTTTAGTTCTTTTAAATAGTTTATGATTTTACTTATATGATATTTTGAAAAAAATGTGTTAAAATATAGTTTGAACTATGCAAAATATTGCTTCGAAAAGGTTTCATCAGTTAGAGAAATACAAATCCCCAAATTAGCTATTTTGGCACAAATCTCCTCTTTCTTTCGAGTACTGTAGTATTATGAGAGTCTTCCTCCATCTTGATGCTAGCCCTGAGCCCGGTGGCAGAGTAGAGTGGTCACCATGGTTACAGCTCCTCTTCAGTCATTACTAACCTAAACAAATAAAACAAAGATCATCCAGTGGTTCATGAGAGTCCTAAAACCCAGAAATGAGTTCAGCGCTTCCGTTCCCTCGTCTAAATGTTTCTTTGGTTAGACGTCTGAAATAAGATGTGTGGTGAACGCAAGCTTAAGAAATGTTCATGTTATGTTCTAGGACAACAAATAAGTGAGTTAATACACCACAGGTGAATGTCTAAAGCTTCTATGAGTCATACAAACTGCGGATGCTAACGCTAAAGTGGCTAAATGAGACTACTAAACGTCATCACGGGCAAAAACAAGTCTGCCTTCAGCTGAGCAGTGGTGACGCAAAGCTATGTTTCCAGGAAGTAGTCCGTTTATAACGTTAACTATTACTACAACTATTATAAAAGTGTTGTTGATACGTGCGGAGTATCCTGCTTGGAAAAATATGTGTATGTATTATAATTATTTGTTTGTCATAATACAAAATCCAATTGCATAGTCCCATTGACTTTTGTTGAGGGAGACATTGGGATGCTAACGTCCAGGTTAGACTCTATACACTTGATATGATCCCTGCATCCAGCCTACTTACTTTCATCGTCTGAGTCGAAGCCAAAGAGTGCGGAGCAGGTGTTGAGGGCT